AGCGCCGCCGCGCTTCCCAAGCGGCGCACTATCCAGTGCGCCACCGGGCCGGCCCGAAAATCAGGTTTTAATTGTTGAACTTGTAAGCACTTCTGGGTCTTATGAGGTCTGGTACACCTGGGTTGTATGGAAACTCTGTCTGGGCCTGAGTCTTTTCAGCAAATTGAATCCCCTGAAGTTCTATGTTCCTGACAAGTTTACACTGAGTGGGCCTGTGCTGATTGGAGGGCAGATCATCTGTCCATGCTGTGCCCCAATGTTCCCCTAGTGGCTGGTCTCCCCCACCGCCTGCACTCCAAACACTTCCCATGGAGTGGGCCATGCACCAGTCCCTTGTGATGACTCACCAGCCTCTGAGTGGCTACTTTTCTCAGTTATCTGTGGCCCCTTGCTCCTATGCAGGTCAACGGGAACCCTGTCCGTGGTCTTGCTGGCCTGCAGGGCCACCAAGACCCTCTTCTCCCCTGCAGGCTCCAAGTAACATCATACAAAGGGCACAGCAGTGGCATTTGCCGGCTCTTGCTCCTTGTGCTCACCAGGACCAGACTTGAAGTAGTCAGGGCTTGAAACAGTTGGAGTGTCCTTTCTTTCTCTCATTGTGGTTTCTCCTGCCCTCATGAACTCTGTAGGTCTCTCCTCCTCTTCCCCTGAGCTCTAGCAGCCCCAGCTTGGCAGTCATTGCTTTTTAATAGTTGTAAATTGGTTGATTGTGGGAGAGGAGGATGCCGGGTACTGTCTATTCCACCATTTTGATTCTGGATCCATTTTTTTGTCTTAATTGATTTAATGTTTCATCTCCTTTAATGGAAGGTTTTCAGAGGTCTCTTTTTCCCTTCCAGAACAACTTACTGATTTAGAGCCTGTAGTTAAAAGAGTGATTGAGGTCTTGGCAACATGTGGTACTACGGTCCTTTGAAAAGAAACCATCTTCTTTTTTTTTTTTTTTCCTTTTTGTCTTTTTTCGTGACCGGCAACGGATCGCAACCCTCAGTGTCGCGCCCGTACCAGACCCGGACCGCCAACGGGATCGCAACCCTCGGTGTTGCGCCCGCACCTCGCTCAGCCAGTGAGCGGCCGGTCTGTATGTGGGATCCGAACCCTCGGTGGGAGCTTCGCCGCTCTCCCAAGCGGCACACTGTAGCAGTGCGCCACCGGGCCGGCCCAAAGAAACCATCTTCTAAGTCTTCTTGGTTCACTTGCTTGGTTCACAAGACAGCACAACTTCACATTTCATAGGTGCAAGCCACACTCGCTCCTTGCTTATTTTTTAAGCAGGTACCAAGGAGTAGTCTTGTTGGCTGTGGGTCCAAATACTGAAGCCAGCACCAAAGATTGAATATTTATTCCTGAGTTTTCTTAGTTTTCGTAGGTGCAGCTCAGGGTGCACACTGGAGCATTATCTATTCTCCTTTTGTGGGTTGAAATGAATGTGAGCTCATCGGCTTGGCAGGTGAGAGAATCAAAGTCATGGATGGGCCTATTTCCTGTGGGAGCCTTCTACTTTTCCTGTGCTTACACACTGGGCACCTAAGCTGGCTGTTGAATACTTTTCACAGGAGCGATTAATCAGGAGGCAGACTTGGTGAGAGTGAGAATAAATGAGTGTAGTTACTACACAGTTATTGGAGAAACACCTGCTCATGATAACTACTCAATAGTGCCTCCCTGATTGTAAAAGAGTGTCTTCTAGTAAGCTGGAAGCATAACCCATGGGTTGACAATCAGACTTGCCTGTCTGATGGCATTAATTACAGGGTGCTATGGGCCAGGTTTCTGTAAGTTGGGTGGAGGTGGAGGCCACTAGCTGTGAGTACAATGCCCAGGGAGATGCATGTGAGTGGGAGGAAGAAAAGAGATTTCTCTGGGGCTGTTGCAAGACTGATGCTGGTGAAATATACTTGTCTGTCTTGAGCATTAAGCAGCATCTGCCAGGATTGTTAGCTACTGGCAGCACATCTTCAGTACTCATGGTCTATGGGGAACTTGGGCAAAGGTAAAAGTGTGGTAAGTTTTAGTTCTGTGTTTCTTACTATTTGCTTTTGGCATGCACATGGACATGTGTGTGTGCATGTGTGTGTTTATGTATATATGCCTCTGTGTGTGTGTGTGTGTGTGTGTGTGTAAAACTTACTGTAAGGTGTCAAGTTTCAGCCTACTTATTATTTTATTCCAGAAAATTTTCAGCATTAACTAAGAAACAGAGGCTCCATTTTAGCTGCTTCCTATCCCTTCTGCCCCAGTTCTAAGGTCCTTGATCTACTGAGACCAAGGATGATGAATGACTCAGAAGGGAAGATTGGATTGGAACACCCAGAGGTTAGTTTACCATTTCCGAAGTAACCTTTATGTGATAATGTGGAAAGAGCAAGAACTTTCAATCCATATAAACATAGCTTGAATTCTGACTCTACTATGTATTTATGACGTTGTGCAAGTAACTTATTGTGGGTTGTAGCTAATCGAGGCAAAACTAAGACTAGTCTAATTCTAATGATTTTGTGGAAATTTAATTTCATTTTACGTTAGAGCTAGGATTGTGGTTGGATAGATAAAGTAGATGATGCAGGTATGTGTCTTAAATGCTGAATTTGACTTCACTTGATTTCTGTGGCATGTCCCACTCTGGGACCTTTGGAAATCTGGCAGCTGAAGCACGAGGCCTGCCACCCATTCTTTCTATCCATCCTTTCCTTCTGTCCACCCATCCATCCATCCGTCCGTCCGTCCGTCCATCCATCCATCCATCCATCCGTCCATCCATCCATCCATGTATCACTTATGTACTAAACCAATTACTATATGCCGGGCACAGTTGTAAGAGATAAGGATTAAGGAGTAAAGAAAAGTAGAAAAAAAATCCTGCATTCATGAAACATTTATTCTGGAGAGGGGGAAATGCGATGAAAAAAATAAGTCAGTAAATTACGTAGTATATTTAAAGGGGATTATTATAGGGAAATTAAAGCAGGCAAATGGGATGGAGTATTCAGGCAGTTTTAAATACGGTGATGAGAGGAGGTCTCATCGAGAAAGAGCTCACGCCTGCGGTGTTCTAAACACATTTGCATACAGCGCCTGTTGCCGCCTCCTCCCTCTTGTGTATTCACTGACCCCTCACCATTTTTGGCACCTGAAAACAATAATTGTTTTGGAGCACAGAATATGACTTTTGAGTTTTCCTTTATGACTGTGTTAAGATGCTAGCAGATGCCAGACAAAAGTTAAATTGCTGGAGCCCTCTCTTGTTGCCCCTATTGAGTTCCAGACAGTGATACCTTCTGCTCTGTTATCCATGTGGCGTTATATTGGGCACCTACCTGTGACACTTTTTTACATAACCTGCCCACCACACCCAACACACCCCACAGGGACCTCTGACTGTCTGAGTTCCAGACAGTGATACCTTCTGCTCTGTTATCCATGTGGCGTTATATTGGGCACCTACCTTTGACACTTTTTTACATAACCTGCCCACCACACCCAACACACCCCACAGGGACCTCTGACTGTGCAGCTTGCTGTGATCCCTGGTGGGGCTGGGACTCTGCTTCTAATCTTTTCCCTGCTCTCTTGGAGGAGCAAGTGGGCATCAGCTGCCAACCTAACTTCATCCCTTTGGATAATAGCAGCCTCTGCCTTCACTACTTCCTGTCCTGAGATAGTGAGGGCAGAGTGTCTCATCACCAAGAAAAGCTTCTCATTTTCCCTATCTTGGTGCAGGAGGTGGGGAGCAAGGGAGAGAAAATAAGTCAGGGACGTCATGATGTCACTGCCGCCTGGGACCTGGAAGCAGTCTTTGCAGTGTCAGGGAGGGACCCACATGAAGGAGACACCTTAGTCTTCCTTGGCCTAGGGTGGTTGATGAGTAACCTTCATTTGCAAAATGTTAAAGAGCCCCTTTAGAAGCTGGAAGCAAAGTTGAGTGAGTGCCACTCTGTGAAGGCCAGAGACACATTTTAATTTGGGATTCAGTAGAGCTTAAATCCCTTCTGCTGCGTGCTGAGCTCTGCACTGGCAATATGGAAGGATGGGGCCCAGTAGACGCCTGCACCTCTGACCAATGTGGGGTGTGGTGGGGATTAGCTTTAGTTTGACAGAACTTATTTGACTCTCAGAGGTTGCTTTCTGCTTGGCTGGGACTGTGCGAGTGCCACGCTAGCTTCAGCACGTACACACACACTCCATGTCACCCTGTGCCAGCTGGGTCTGGCTGTTGGCTGCCCACTCAGGCTATAGGAAGAGAGTGATGCCAGCCAGAGCTGCTGTGACAGGTGGGGCTGGCCCAGTGCCCAATCAGGGTGGCCAGAGCCTCCTTGCTACATTCTGCTCCCGCCTCCTCCTACACTCTGGCCCAGTACAGTTTTGGGCCCCTCTGTCATGACTGTGAAGTGTATTTCTGACCATCTTAGTAGTGCAGGGAGGTGTGTTTGTTTTACATGTGTGTTTGTTGTTTCGGGGTGAGTAGGAGTTCTGCAGAAGCCATGTATTCCTAACACCCCAAGCACCATCAGCATTATGTGCCTGCCCAGCTCTGTCCAACAGTGAGTTCAGCTCTATGCTTAAGAAGACAAAGGCTAATAGCAGCAGTAGAGTAAATGTGGGGATAATGGGCCTAGCTGCACTGACAGTAACAACCTGTTCCCTGCACCTTCTTGCTGTTCTGCGAGGCTGTTCTAAGGACTAATTCCTCCCTGGGCCATACCCTGTTTGGGATTGCGGGGGGTATGGGGAGGTGCTGGGTGGTGGTTTTGGGGCTGACTCTGTTGTTCACGACTGTTTGGGAGATGCGGTGTCACTCCCTTGACTTATTTGTTTTCCATTAGTTTGCCTCTGTTGAGAGCCTGGATCTTATTCTTGTGCATTATATTTATGTATTTTTAATGGTGCAAGGCCCCAGTGTTTCATCTTCCATCTGACTTTATAGAAGCACTAACACAAATAGGCTGGCCTTGGCTGGTATTACATTTGAGAGCCCTCAATCCTGTGAGGCTGCCATCATATCCACCCTTTATCTAATTGGCCCTGTCAAAATGAACTCCTTTTTAAAAGTCCCAACTCTCTGGTGCTGCTCATTCATCTCGTAGAGTCCAACTGAATGCTTCCCAAGCATTGTCATGGTGTATGTAGACATGATACTATCNCGTAGAGTCCAACTGAATGCTTCCCAAGCATTGTCATGGTGTATGTAGACATGATACTATCTATTTAGATGGGAGGGCTCATTCCTAAGGGCAACAGGCCAGTGAAGTCTGGCTACTACCGTCTTTGGCCCCCTTTACCCTCACCTGGCTGTTTCTGGGGCTCAGGGGATGTGTTTTCCTCTGGCAAACCTCTACCCACTGGGAGTACGCAAGTGACCCTAGCCCAAGACCTAGCACAGACCACAGTCTCATCCATAGAGTCCCATCTATAAACACCTTTAAGGTGACCCCAGAGGTCACCTTATATTTGTCTAGGATGTTGTAAGTTAGGAAGAACTAAGTTTCTGTGGTTGTGCCCACTGCTTAATGCAGTCCGCCACCACCTGTCCTTCTGAGGATACAAACACTGTATGTCGCTTGTCCCCTCCAGGCCAGCATGACCAGGCTCTGTGGCCACACACTAATGCTTAGCCCTACTTCTTCCTACCCTGCCACGTTCCAAGGTATTTCACATGGCTTCCACAGGTTCGTGACCTCCCAACTTGCAACATCTTCTGCATAGCTTAGAACATTGCTTCTTATGAAATGAGGTGTCGCAGGGTGCTCTGCTGATACCATCTGCTCGTGGTGCTGTGGCCCACACCTGGAAAGCTGGTCTGAGTGGATGCAGATATTGCAAGAGTACACTTGGCCCTTTTAACCCTTTGGACTGTATGGTACCAGGTAGTGCTTCTTACATTTAAACAGGGCTATGTGTGTGCTCATCAGTCCATCCATTCATTTATTTACTTGTTCGACAACCTCGCTGAATAAATGCTGGGTATGGCAGATATAAATATAGAAGGCATAGTTCCTGCTTTCCAGGAACTCACAGTCCAGTGAGGGAGATCCTAGAAGTAAACAGTGATACGTATGAGAAATTCCATGAATGTGCGTTGGGAATGCAGAAAAGGGGAGACACTCACATTTGGAGAGTAAGTCAGAGGAGGTTGCCTGGCTGAGATGAGATGACTCCTGTATTGAGTTTTCTTCCTCTTCCATTTTGTTTTGAAGTGAGTTATGTAGGATGTATGTTAATTGGGTGAAAGAGGGAAAGGTCCCAGGCAGTGGGAAAACTGTCCAGAGCTAGGGAGGCATGTTGGAGAGCTCAGCATATTTGGGGAGCTTCAAGTACCATCATTTTGTTTGGTCATAGCAGAGTCCTAATAGGCAGCAGCAAATGAGATAAGTATCACTCAAGGAGGGAGAGGAGACTCCCACATTAGCCTGTAATGGTCAGATCATACTTTTGGAAGGGGAGTGTCTGTAGGATTCAAAGCAATATCTTACAGGAGCCCTGAATGTTCACCTGGAGGAGAGAGTGCTCTATATGGCAGTCTGGCTTGACTAAACTTGTTACGGATGGGTACTGTGAGTGCAGGAGGTATGGTGGACAGATTGCATTCTGAATC